GGGGGGGGGGGGGGGACTGTTTCGGCAGTGGTTGAACGTAGCGGCCGTGGGGGCGACGGCGTTGACGTCACAACCTTAGTGATTCCTGTGGGATTGGGAGTGGGAGGCGGAGGAGGAGGAGGAGGAGGAGGAGGAGGAAGTGGTAGGTGGAAGGAGACTAAGCGGTGTGCGGAAGGAGGAGGAAGGGGAGAAGGGAGGAGTTGCCCCGTGAATGGCACGTGGCGAATCGGGGGAACCTCCGTCATGGCAGGTCAATGCATCACAGCCGCCGGTGAGGAACCGGCGGAGCCGTCGCGATGGCCGAAGCTTGCGCGGAAGACTGCGCTGAAGTCCCGATCTTTGAAGCTGTTGAAGGACAAAATTTTTGTCCTTCGGTGTTTTCGAGGACGGCGGGAATCGGATGGGAGATCGAGAGGGTGGGTGTGTAATCCAGTCGGATTTGCGGATCAATCAGATGACGTGGCGGAAGATGGGAAACCAGGGAACGAGACGTCAACATCGTCGGCGGAAGACGTCTACCTTTCTTGTACTACGTTCAACGTTTTGGCGCCAATCTACAAGCGGATTAACGCCGAGGTGGGTCTTGTCAATCACTGCTTCATGATTCTATTTTTAATTTCCCTGCCGCACAAAAAAAAAAAAAAAAAAAAAAAGACTCTGTGTGGTTCGTGCTACTACCAAGTAAACACAAAGTCGACGTCTCCACTACTTTGTGCAGTCATCGTTGTCGCCGTCACACACACACACACACACACACACACACACACACAGAGGGAGAGAATCTGACACACACAAAGATTCTCTCCTTCTGTGTGTGTGTGTGTGTGTGTGTGTGTGTGCGAGAGAGAGAGAGAGAGAGAGAGAGAGAGAGAGAGAGGATCTTTGTGTGTGTATGTGTGTGTGTGTGTGAGAGAGAATCTTTGTGTGTGTGTGGAGAGAGAGAGAGAGAGAGAGAGAGAGAGAGAGAGAGAGAGAGAGAGAGAGAGAGAGAGAATGAAATGGAATTTCGTGAAGCAGTAGTGTTATATGTTTTATCTTATTCGATCCTCGTGTAGTGCTGCCATTTTTTCATCCTGTTCTATTTTTTTTGTGGGGGGGGGAGGTCATCTCGTTTCATGTTTCGTAATCTCGTCTCAGCCTAAATGATTTCGCATGGGAGTCAGTCGATGGGCGTGTTTTTTTTTTTTTTTTTTTTTTTGCCGTGATCTTTGTATAACCCACCCTTTTTTTTTTTTTCAATTTCTGTTCATCTGAATGGATCTGGATTCGGAGTTGGGTCTGTATTTCAACAGTTCAGGAGCCGTGACCCACTAGCGGGGGTTTAGTTTATGTTTCGTGTATTTTCCAACGTGGTCTCAGGAAGAGGGACATGGGCCGGGTTTTTTTTTTTTTTCGATAGAGAAAAAAAAAAAAAATCGATTGAGGAGGCCGGGGACCTCACAATTCAACCCGGGCCGTGAGATTTCCAGATCGGATGGCAAGGAGCCATGTATACTGGAAACGAGAATAACCTCGAGAAGTGGGACATGGGCCCAGTGACGTACCGACTGAACTTTGCCCGTTGGTGCCGACAAAATGACAGTAGTGCTCCTTTGGGCATTTAACTTTTTCTTTTTCCTTTCCCTCTCTACACAAACTTTTATATCGGCCCAAAAAAAAAAACAAAAAAAAAACAAAGAAACTTTTATATCGGTAGCGGTAAGGTGAGGAGGGCTTGGGTTCAGTCCAGTGGCATATGTTTGTCTGTCTGAGATTTGGTCTCCGGTTCGGCCGGGGCCGTAAGCTAAACTGGCTGATGCTGCCAGGATAACTCCGGGGCCGTGGTCCCATTAGCAAAGAGGATCGGACTGAATGCCTGAATCTGGACGTGTTTGAGGACAGCAGCAGGAAATCGAGATAGAACTGCTTTTCTGTATCTCTGCATAAAACATAGCCAGCTTCAGGATTTCTATCCTATCCCCTTCGCTAGTGGGACCACGGCCCGGTAGAATCTGTGAGGTCCCTGGCCTCAATGATGGATTGTTGGAATATTATGTCGCTTGTAAAAAAAAAAAAAAAAAAAAAAAAAAACTTTTATATCACCAGCTACCTTTGGTAGCATTCGAGGCCTACCGTAGGCTCCATTTGGGGTCTTAGGGCCTCGCCACACCACTCTCGAAATGTGGAAAAGACAAAAATGTGGCGGGTGCATCTGGCCATGTTCTAGCAGGAAGTTCATTCTCATTTTGCACATTTCGAGAGTGGTGTGGCCATGCCCTTAATTGCATTTGCTGTACTTTTGTGGGTCGCAAATTTGAGGTTTTTTTTTTTTTTTTTTTTTTTTTGGACAAATTTGAGGTTTAAAGGGTCTCGCTCCACTAGTACCACTACTCACCAGATGCACAAACGACAAAAGATATGGAGGTATAACTTTCGTTTCTGATTTTTTTTGTTTTTTTTTTTCTGATCGGTTTCAGTATGCCCTCAAAGGACTTCAGGAAAAAAAAAAAAAAAAAAGGGCTTCAGAATTTTTTTTATTTTTTTTTGGGGCCAAATTTGGATCGCATTTCTCCTCCCCCCCCCTCCTCCTCCTTTTCTTTCTTTCTTCTTTTCCTGAGAACCCCTCATCCTCCTCTTCCTTTTTTTTTTTTTTTTTTTTTTTTTTTTTTTCGTCCCATGACTGCGGGTCTCGTGGTGATAAGAGCACCAACGGGATCGAGGTACCTATGTGGATGACTCCGTCTATTGGTGGGGGGTTGCGCCTGCTGGAAACCGGGGGCCAAGTCCCACTTACCCGAATTCTCAAAATCTGACCGTAGATTGGGAAGATCAACGGTCAGAAATGAACTGAAGAATCAGCGTCAGTTGGACTTGGCCCCGGCTCCAGCGTCCCAGCGTCCCTTTGCTCAAAGGAGGCCGGGGGCCATGTCCCACTACCGGGGCTAGGTCCCACTTGCACTTGCACGAATTAAGAGATACTGACCGTAGATAGCAAAGATCAACGGCCGAAATCTCCTACTTTGTGCAAGTGGGACCTTGCCCCCGGGGGGTTAGTTTATGTTGTTTCGTGTATTTTTCAACGTGGTCACACCCTGGGGTTGGGCACACTAAGCAGCCTACGTCAATTTTTGACGGCTCTAAGAGCCAAAAGAAAAAAAGAAAAAAGAAAAAAAGAAAAAAGAAAAAAAAAGAATTTTCAGATAGGATGGCAGGGAGCCATGCATACTCGAAACCAGAAGTAAACCTGGACAAGTGGGGCATGGCCCCGGCGTCCTCACAGTCTACCCGGGGCCAAGTCCCACTAATCGGGGCCACTAATCCGAATGATGGATTTCTGACCGCAGGGGGGGTTGGGGGGGGGGGAGGTAAGGATTCCATTATTCAAAAACCAATAAGAGGCCGGGAATCCTCACATACAACCCCGTAAAAAAGGCTGGGACCATAATGCAGTTTCGGTCGGAGGGGGTCGACGCCCCCTTGATCTGCGACGGACACCAAATCTGAAAGCTTAGCAAACAGAGCCCTCTGCTCACACTGATCTAAACAGAACAGTAATAACTCCTATGAATGATCAGCCTAAGTCTCCGAATACAACGTATGGTCATTAAAGCTGAATTTGGTGTATCTTTCGGTCTAAATTCAGCTAGAAATGACCGTACGTTGTATTCGAGGGAAGACTGTAGCTAGCTACTTCCTTCTACTGAGCTAGCACCAGTACCTTTGACGGTTCGAAAATACTCGGCCTCCGACGGCCGCCGATCAGATTTATCAAGGGCAGGCTCGGCCTCCTAAAAGTTCGGGTGCTGGCCACGACTTGTCGAAAATAGGCTCGGAGGTACTGGTGGTTTACACGGCTAACTGGAACCTACAACGGTTCCTTAGGGCATACACACACTAGCACTATCTTAAATGCATCTGACTGACCGCATTTTCGGCCGGACCTGTATGCATGTGGCCGCAATTACGTCCAGAAACAAGTAAAAAAGTGCTAGTGTGAGTTTGCCCTTAGTATCCTAGCACTCTCAAGTTGATCAGCCTCCAACTAACCCGAGTTCATTCTGAAGTTCGTACCCAGTATTACCGCCCGTCTACTGAGTAGACTTAATGGACCGAGTGCCCTGGTACCTACCTACCTGTGAGGCAGTTGCGCTCCCCCCCCCACCCCCGCACCACCACCACCTCCCCTTACGTCCAGATTGTCTACTTGTGGTCCTCTGTTATTGTTAGCATTACCAACTGCCCATCCCTTCCCCCAAGTCTTCCTGAACCAACGTACACCCTGGGTCTCACCGCACGGCACACGAAACGAAAACGAAATGAGTGCATTTGCCCACCAAAGGTGGCAAAATACATTCGTTACTATTTATAGCAAACGGATGAACCTGGCCATTTTCTGGGGGAAGATTCATTCTTTTCGTTTTTCGTTTTGTGTGCCGTGCCGCAATGCCCCCTGACTACGACACTTCCGCACTATTCGTCTACTCCAATCTGCTTGAATGCACAGTCGAACCAGAGATTTAAACCACCAGTAGGCCAGGGGGTCTTAGGCCTCCTCTGATGCAAATGCATATGGATCTGCGCGGCGCACAGATTCATCCTCTGCGTTAACGCCTAAAAACGCGGTAGGTACTGGTGGTTTAATCAAAACCTTGGTTTCCACATCCGACATCCCCCACTGATCAAAGATCCTCCTGTTCGCCGCGTGGGTCCATATGCAGATGATGGCCCTACAAATGTGAGCCGCAGATGATGGTTCCCAACTGACCCTGCAGATGATGGCCCTCCAAATGTGAGCCACATAGCCCCATCCTGACTTGAAAGACCTGCGTTCAGGGAGATAGCCCAGCAATGCCCATTCCTTGTCCCATTCAAACTTCCACCCAGGAAAAGAAAAACAACTCTCCAATGCTCATACCACCATTTCCAAATTCTCTTAGATGCAGGACAATCCCACCAGAGGTGGGGGGTTGACTCGAACGGGTGTCCGCCATGCAAGAGCGGCAGACATTCCTCGGCAGAGTAGCCAAACAGAGAGAGCGGCCAAAGAATAGAGGCATCCCTCTGTGAAGGCAAAATGGCCATTTGCTGCCACAGTCTTACCAGAGCAGCCACAGATTCCACTTGATTGCCGACTAACGGATACTTGGACCATCTGGACCAGGCAATTTGATGAGGAGTCTGAGCAGGTAAGAGCCTCGGAGAGTATGAGTTGAGAGGCAGTGTCTCACCACCGCGTCCGCAGCCCATCCAGCCCCGCCCCCGAAGGGCCCAACCGCAAGCTGCGAATAGACTTGGCCTGAGACCAAGGTGCAATTTGCCGAGTCTCATCAGTAGATACAGTCCCATCAGGAGATACCCCTTCCTGAACTTGCACCTGGTCTAGGGTAAGAGGGGGAGGGGGGGGGGGGGGGGGGGGGGGGGGCGTGCATTGTTGTCTTGAGGATTCTCTCGCCATACACACGCGATTCTGATGAGACCAAACAGACCACTTTGGGTCACCACTTTCGTCGTAGTTCACCGTTTCCACAGATTGACTTCTTTGAGGGGGACCGAGGAATGGAATGTATCACGTGCCCCGGTGGGTCTCTGCAGTCCGG